TTTTCTTGCACTTAGATGCTTCTGGTTTACCCTCTCAGACTCTGAGGGTTTCGTTCCATTCCAACAGCCTGGGAAACAGCAAACCAAGGGATTGCTCACATCGTCCTGTCTAGAACTTCTTCAGCTTCATTCAATATGTCTGTGGAGTCCAGTCTCCATAGGATATTGCTTTCAGGAGCACTCTGGGGTTTTTTGTTGTTTAATATTTTATTATTTTTTATTATTTTATGTATATGTGTATTGCCTGCATGTATGTAATTACACCCATGTTGTGCAATGCCCATGGAAGTCAGAAGAGGGCATTGGTTCTCCTGGAACTGGAGTTACAGATGGTTGTTAGATGCCATGTGGATGCTAGGATTTGAACTCAGATCCTCTGCAAGAACAGCCCCAGGAACACTCTGTTTGATTTTAAATTTATATTGTGGAAAGTTTGTTTTCTTCCTTTTTTTTTTTGTTTTTGTTTTCCTGTCTTTTTTGAGACAGGGTCTCCTTGTAGCCCCAGCTGTCCTGGAACTCACTATGTAGACCAGGCTGACCTCGAACTCACAAAGATCCGCCTGCCTCTGTCTCCCAAGTGCTGGGATCAAAGGCATGCTTTTTATTTCTTTTTTTTTTTTTTTTAAGATACAGTGGAGAGACTGATAATGAGCCCCATTCATTTGACTTCATCTCTTATGAGTTGTTGCCAATCATGTGTCCCCTATGCTCTCTGTGGCATTTTCAAAGATTTATATTTCTCTTAGTCTAAATCTTCCAAACACTACCATGGTTCAAAAATGGGAAGAAAAAGAGGAAAAGAGATATCCTGTCCTGTCTGTGAGATCTAGAGCTAGAAAGTAGAAAGAATGTTGGAGAACAGTGTATAGATATGATTGCCTTTGGAGGAAATATAGAACACAGATTAACCACAGAAGGTCTGTTATTCAAATATAGGTTTGAGTTTATTTCTGCCTAGCAGTAACTGGTTAGTAAACACAACAGAAATGGGTGGTTGGAATAGCCTGAGGAGAGGAATAGCTTGCTAACCAATTTTAGTTCCATTAGGTAATGAAAATAGAACTGAAGTGCCAAAGCCTGTCAGTTTTGCTGTCCTGAATGTTTCATTGGCTGTAGTATAGACTAATTCCTAGGGTGGCCAGGTACACCTTCTATATGAATTTTTATTGTATCACCGTGACATTGACTGACAGAAACAACTGAGGGAAGAAATATTTCCTTGGCTCACAGTTTCAGAGAATTTCAGTCTGTCATGACAGGGAAATCATGGCAGAACAGCTTGGTTCATGGTGGTGGGATCGTGTGGCAGGGACACTTCCTACATCATGGTAGACCAGGAAGTGGAGAACAGCACAGGAAGTGAGTACTGGGTATAGTCTTTAAAGTCCTGCCCCAAGTGACCCAATGCTATCAGCCAAACTTCACCTCCAAAAACCTCCTAAAAATACTATCAAAAGCTGGGGAATAAGAAGTCCAAACTTGAGCCTGTGTGAGGCATTTCAGGCAAACTGTCACACCCACCTTGTGGGTTTGCATCTACCAGTGCGAAGGTGAGCATGAATATTCTCAAGCCTAGGCTACAGAGACCTCAGTGACTGTGCCAGGAAACAGAACAAAATTCTCTGCTTCCGCAGTGACTCTGCAAGAAGCTGCGGTGATATGAGGCTTCCGGGGACAGTGCCTGGGCTGCCCGTCAGCAACTTTCCCTTAGAGACCAGGGACAGGGCAGAGAGCTGCTGGCTCTCTTCTGTCCTCATTTAAGTGCCAAGTGCTTTTCTGCAGCTCAGCTTTCTCAGCAGAGCTTGCCACAACACACACAGAAGGGCGGAAATGGGGACAAGGAAAGAGCCTGCGCTCTGTAAAATCTCCTGGACTACACATGATATGTCCCTTATGGGAAAAAAATGACTGTCCCTTGCAAATGTCAGATTTTCTTGAGAAGGAATTTATCTGAACTTGCTTTGCAGGGATCCATGGTGCACAGGTGCCTCAGGGATGATTCCTTGGTCTTTCCAATAATAATTTAGCAAGGGTTAGATTTTTGATAATGTGTATTTAATATAAAGGCTATCACTAAAATGGACATTCTCTCTCTTGCTCTCTCATCCTCTCTGTTTGCAGTGCTGAGGATTGAACTAAGACCTCGTGAATCCTAGGCAAGCACTATACTACTGAGCTGAATCTCTGGCTCCCTAATTTAAAAAACTATCATCCATCCATCATCTATCTATCTATCTATCTATCTATCTATCTATCTATCTATTGATCTATCGTCTATCTATTTTCTGTGTATCTATCTTCTGTGTATGTATGTATGTATCTACTTACCTACTTACATACATATCTATCATCTATCTATCATCTGTATGAACATGTGTGTGAGAGTGCATGTGCTTCTGTGCATCGAGGACAGAAGGCATTAAATACTCTCCTCTAATCATGCTCTATCTATTTTTTTGAAACAGGGTCTCTCCCTAAACCTGGGGCTCACATTTTCTTGGCTAGGGAGCCCCAGTGATCCTCTTGTCTCTGTCTTCCTCAGAGGATAGCCTGGAAACTGCTTGTAGCTTTGCCTGAAAGATGCCATTGTTTCTTTCTATGGTGTTACTAAGGACACTTCCTAGGATAATTTTGTAAAGAGTACTACAATGCTTCTTTGTCCCACAGGCATTTCATTATCATCTGAGAGCTCTGATTTATAGGGGCCACACTGCTGGGTAGGTAAGAGGTCCTGAGCATACTCTCTGCTCTGATCCACACAGACATGAACAACAAAGCCTCTTTTGCTCAGTGGCTGGCTCACCCACACATCTGAGCATCTGGCTTTGCTGAGATTTATGAGTCAGAAAGCTCTTCTGAGCCAGTGATGTTTCTAGAGGGTTTGCCAAGCTTTTCTGGTCTGATGTGTCATGGAGGCAGAGGAAAAGTGAATCTTAGAGCCATGGGAATGTGGCAGCCAGCTTTACTTGCTAGAGTCTAAGAAAGTCTATGACTGTAAGCATTTGGTCTGGAGGACTGCCCGAGTATAAGCAAGAGGTCACCTGTTCAGGGAAAGGAGAAAGGTCAGGGAACAGAAAAATCAGCAGGAGAAAAGGGAAAGATGGGGGGGTGTCAAAAATCAAGAGTGAGGATAGGAGAGATATGATAGGAGATTACTATCCTTTTCTTAGGTAGAAGTAGGTATAGGGTGGATGGTTGCAGAGCAAGAATGTGTAAGATACAATGAGCCTAGTTATCACTCAAATTCCAGGAGGAATGAGACTAATGAATGGATCTCCTAGCATCAAACTAGTTTCGTTATGACACCCAATAACTTACTTAGTAACTTCCAAATCCCCCGGCAATGTGTCCTCAGAACCCTCTCTTTGAAAAGTTATTTTTTATGAGGTGTTTACAGACAGTGCCCATCAAAGTCTCCATCTCCTGTCTACCTGTGATGGGAAGAACAGGCAACCCAGGTAATTCTTCCTGTCCTTCAAGTTTCTGTAGCATATACTCAGGGAAATATTCTCTGTGAAATATCTTCAAGTTTCAAAGAAGGATTATATGTCTACATATTTTTATGTTTGACCTAACTTTCCCTCAAATTCTCCAGTTGTAGATGTTTGGAATTACCACAGCCATCTTATTACTATGAAAGGTGTAATAATTAATAACCTGAGGAAGACCAAGCAGTGTTAGGAGAGAAGGTAAATGAGTAGCTCAAGGAAACCTTAAAACACTATGAATTACTGTGCTTACAATTCTGGATGCATTTTGCCTGAAGACTTCTTGCTGTATGAAATAATGAGGCTCCTTATCATTAAAAAAATATTTCCTCAGTAGAGACCCCTTTCCTAGTCACTAAATGCATCTCTTTTATCTCTCCTCAGCCTGTGCTATACTGAGGCACGGAGACCTTCTGTTGTGTTCTAGCATGGCCATGCTCACTGACTATCACCTGCGTAGAGTCAGGGCTGAGTCTGATGTTGGCAAATGCTTCCTATTATTTCACTTCCAACCTTGACCCCTTCCCTGCTTGGGCACCATTGCCTGCGTGCTCTCTCACCTGAGGATTTACCAGCTTTAGAAGCTTTATGGAAAAAAAAATGTTTTTCTTTACCTTTAGCAAAATATGAGCTGAAGATAATTAAGGGACTTCCTAAAAGGTTTTGTTGTATCTCTAGCTTTGGGAAAATACTTTGAATCTCAGGATACGTAAAAGACAGAGAGTTATATGTGATAAAAGTCCCGACTTTTAGACAACAGCAAGGTTGTGAAGCCTTGGAAAGGTAGGCACAGATCAAAGGCTCACTGGCTGCTTCTCCAGGAAGCACTGAAGGAGAAAAGAAATACAGGTGATTGAAGAGCCAGAATGCTCTGACTCCATTTTGGCTAGTTCCTTTAGACAAGCCCAGACAAGCTCAGGCATATTGTACATGTAAAAGCCTTATAAGGTATGAATAAAAACTTCTGACTCTAAAAGACATTAGTCAGCACATTCCAATGCCCTGAAAACAGCCCCTACCAATCAAGATTTTCCCCGTACACAGGATATGGGGACATCCAATTATTTTTAAAAATGCTTGGTGCGTGTGGGTTTCTGTGGAGTGCCCCAATAAAAGCTCCTGCCTGCTATTGTTCAGGGCCAGACTCCATCTTTGGCTCGTGAAGTCTGTGCCAGGCTAGCCGCTATTTGGTTGTCATCCTTTTTTACTTTAAATTCTTAAACTTTTTGTATAATCTTTTTGGGTATCTGTGGGAATTATTCTCAATTCTCTAACCCTAACAGTGATAGGAAAAAAACATAGGAAAATGGAATAGAAGAGAGAGAAGTCTACAGCTTATCATCATGAAGGAGAATTGCTTTGCAACACTTAAGCATTTTACAAGACTACTGTTAAGGAGTGGGCTAAGGTCATCATCTTCAACACATTGGTAGCATTATCCAGTAGTTAGTCACAGAGCATTAAATCTTGGTCCAGCTAGTTTATGAAACAGGAACCCAGATAACCTAAAACTCAGCCACTCTTGTGGCTTCCATCCCCGGTTCTTTTAATCCTGGCTAAGACAGCAGCCTTGGATACTTCCTTCTGGTCATAAGCCAGGCCGAGCGCGGCCATGCAGTCGATGAAGAACGTGGTGAAGTTGATGTGCCAGCGGTACTCACTGGCTGTCAAAGGGGGAAGGTGTGGTGGTAGTTGTGGAAGCCCTCGCCTGGAACAGAAGCAAGGGGAGCAGTTAGGGAGCTGGGTGGATGGCTGCTTCCTCCTCTCTGCACACCTCTTACCTAGTGGTACCTTAATAAACTTTGAAGAACCTTGCTGCTGAATGAATAGATGAATCCATTGTCTTGTATTGTGAAGCAAATAGATGCCCCCAGAGGCATCTTAGGCAAGGAGTTGACAGGTTCTGCTCACTCCTGCCTATCTGGGAGGCTTTGTCAGAGGAGTTTTCTAACAGAGGATCAGAGAGAACTTGAATCTGTCAGAAACAGATTTTACATTGGAAAATACCAGAGCTTCAAGAAATCACAATTAGCACATTAAATCTTGGTCCAACTGGTTTATGGTTTATGACACGTGGCTTCTACACATTCCAAGGGCCCAAGGGCTCACAGAGTCCATGCATAGGCATATGTATTCAGGAGGGGGGAGGAGGGGATGGTACAGAGGGCAAACCATGGCTGTACTTCTTTCTTAGATGACTATGTAACACACCTTTCCCCATGTACTTCTGTTCTCTGTAAGGGTGAAAGGTTCCAACAGGATGGACAACAGCAGCCAAAATTCACCAGAGAGGAGGCTGAACCAGAGACAGAAGTTCATTTAGCCACTCCTGGCTTATAGGGGGCTGCTCTGGCTGCTAATTCTCTGAGAAGTTTTGACTTTGGGTGGGGGAGGTACTAATAAAACAGATTTGAAAAAGCTTTATTTATTTATTTATTTTTAATGTGTATGAGTGTTTTGTCTGCATGTATGTGAATGCACCCATGTATGCAATGCCAGTGGAGTCCAATAGAGGGCATTAAATCCCCTGGAACTGGAGTTAACAGATGGTTGCTAGCCACCATGTGGGTTCTAGGAACCTAACCCAGGTCCTCTGCAATAGCAGCAGGTGTGCTCTTAACCACTGAGCCGTCTCTCCAGGCCCTAAAACGGAATTCTGAAAGTACTTAGACATTACGTCTAACACTTGAGATTCTGAGAACTCCTAGGATGAGCATTTTCCTAGGTGGAGGAAAACAGAAATTCTGAATTCATGGCCATTTCTATAATAAGTTTAGTGTTTCCTTATTCTTGACATGGCTCTTCTTTTGGAATTGATTCTAATAATATTGACCTGTTTCAGGTTGGAGTAAGGAACAGTTCATAAGAGAAGTCATTGAACCCTTGAAGATAAAAACACCCCCAGAGAAAAAACATCAAAAGAAGAGGTGAAAGGAATGGAAGAGCCAGAGGAAGCACGGGAGCTTGTGCAAGCTGAGTTCCAAGAATGACAGCTGCTGCAATCTTGGACTCATAGCAGCTATACTTTACCTGCCTAAGATCTGCACAGGATTGAGCTGGTCAGCATCCTGTCATGGAAAGGGGACGGGCTCATGGGGCCCCATCATCCCCTGGGGGTTTTATACACAGTTAGTGGTTGATAGAGGAAGGAGAAAACTTTTCTTCAGTGGTGTAGCCACTGGTAAGGTGCCCATGCGCCTATGAACAAACCTTCAATCTATATTCCTGTAAGTCATCCTAATGACACTCATTGGGTCACAAAGATATGAAAGTAGAGGGAAGATTAGTTGGGAAGAGGAAGGGGATTGATGGAAATAGGAGGGGAGAAGGGCAATGGAATGAATACGATTGAAATACATTATGTACATGCACAAAAATGTCATAATGAAACGTGTTATTATGTATAATTAATAGTACTCATAAAAACATCTTTAAATTTAAAAAACACCCCCAGAGATAGGAGGATATGGAAAACAATCAAGTGAAGGAATCCCTGCCAACCAAACCACCCCTACCAGAATTCTGGAGGGATGTATACCCTCTGTCCACTGGGTTGTGAATGATGTGAACTGAGAAGCAGGTGACATAAGGCCTGTGCTAAGGATGTTAACACAAGACATGCAAAACTTCCACACATGCCTTCCCAGTGAGGCTCTGAATAAACACCAGGCTGATTTGTCTGATACTGATTTTTTATTACATTTACTTTTTTTTTTGTGGTGTGGGTGTGGTTGTGCACATTCCACAGCGATGTGAAGGTCAGAGGACAACTGACCTTCACATTGGGAATCTGCTCTCTCCTTCCACTGTGTGAATCGTAGGGGTTGAATTCAGGCCGAGTGTCCTTGGCAGAAAGTGTCCTTACCCGTTGAGCCATCTGATCTTTGTCTGACATTTAAAATGGACGCCCCCGCCCCCACACACACAGAACAAGGAGAGAGAAGGGGCGATAGAGATGAGGGTTTAGGGGTGGTGTGATAGTTACTCTTGGTTGTTAACTTGCCTAGATCTGGAATTAACTAAAAAGAGGGAGACTTTCTTGATCAGATTATTTGAAGTGGGAAGACCCACCCTAAATGTGGCAGTCCACATAAAATGTCATGGCAGAAGGAAGCTTTGCTTTTTGCCTTCTTGCCTTCTCTTTACTGGTGGTTTCATCTTGTTGCTGTAGCATTCCTTCACTGATAGTAGAAACAATGTTTTTGGATTCCAACATAGACTAAAGACTAGCAGACTTCCTCCAGACCTTCAGCGCCAGATTGGGACTGCTGAGCCATCCAGCCTTGTGGGCTGAACAGCTATCAGATTCTTAGCCTCTCCAGTGTAGCACAGCCATTGCTGGACTACTCTGACTCTATCCTGCAAGCCAATCTAATATATCCCCATATATATGTTCTGTTCCTTTAGAGAACCCTGTCTGATACAGGTGGCAACTTGGGACAGCAAGAGACGGCCTAAGAAAGCTCTGGGTGATGGTCAGCTTTGTCAAAAAGAACACAAGTATACAAGTGTGGGGAAGGTAATTTAAAAAAAAAATATGAGGACAGCAGGAAAGAGTTGAAGGGCAGCCAAGAATGGGGTGAGAGGGACAGAAAAGAGTCTCTGGAGGAGACTAACAGCAAAGACAAAGTAAGAGACTAGCAGCCGCTTTGAACTCATAAGGACACTGGCCCTGAGGAAAGTCGCTATGTAGAAATCCCAGTACAGGACACATCTCAGCCTGTATGAAAGTCTCTGAATTTTATAGCATAGGTGATTTTTTTTCCAAACTTGGGCCAAAGTAAGAATATACACAATGGTGGAAAGTTCCTGAAAGCTGGAGAAAGATTAATAAATCTACATGAGGGAGATTTTAAAAAAAGAAACCCCAAAAATTCAGAGTTTACCAAACTAGATAATAGTCATTTTTACCTACATTTATGCAGCATGGTTACATATAAAACACTAAGCTTATTAGCCTCCTCATGGATCGTCCTATTCTTCCTCTTTTTTTGGTCTTTTTTGAGACAGGGTTTCCCTGCAGCCCCAGCTTTCCTGGAACTCGCTATGTAGACCAGGCTGGCCTTGAAATTTTATTATGCATCTGCTGCCCCAAGGGTGTTTCTGGCTTAGCCTAATACTCTAATCAACAAACCACCACATGTAGTCCTGCTAAACTGATGACTTACCAAAAGATGCCATTGAAACAAGAGGGTTCTCTCGGCGACCAATGTTCTTGTCATAAGGGCACTATCCATAGAGGTGGGGAGCACTGTTCACCAGCCAGGTAAAATTGAGCATAATGGCATATCGCAGGAAAGTAGCAATGTGTAAACTGTGTTGAAAAGTTTCACCCCAACAATACCAGGGTACCAGTGTGGGCAGGATAATACAAATCATCAGGACAGCTGGCTTATAGTACCTACATAGAGAGATCACATACTGAATTTGTAGAGTGAACACAGGTGAGCCTGAACTATCCGTACTCACTGAGCTGTATTTTCTCCTACAGTATGAATAAAGGAGTGAAGGGGAAGGAAATCTTTTGAGCACATGGTGTTATCTCACTCCTGCAGTGCAGATGCAGTAAATGACTTTTCTAGTATCACCACAAGGCACCAATAGAGGCATAAATTAGAACATAGGTCTTTTTGTTGTTGTTTTGTTGTTTTTTTGTGTGTGTGTGTGAGACAGGGTCTCCCTGTAGCCCCAGCTGGCCTGGAACTCACTATGTAGACCAGGCTGGCCTTGAACTCACAGAGATCCACCTGCCTCTGCCTCCCAAGTGCTGGGATTAAAGGTGTGCGCCACCATGTCCAGCAGAATATAGTCTCTTGACTAGAAACCCATTGTTCCTTTTCTCAGGAACATAAGGCCCTGTTGGCCAAACAAATCAAACCACAAACTTACCAGTGAAGTTTTCTGCCTGGGCTGTTGGCTATCTGCCTTTGGGCTCTTTTCCTGAGCCCAACACCATCTTCAGCACAACTGAGTGTGTGATAAGTGCTACCATCCCATAGTTCTTTGTTCTGCTTCCCCCCAGGAGGCATACTGAGTGTCCTTGACCATCTGCAATCTTTGTCCCTTTGGAGGCTTTGTCTTACTCTTCACTCCCGTGTAGACCAGGCCATTGACATTCCAAGGGCATTGATTGGCATCCATCCAGCAGTCTCGTCTTCAACTTGTCACTGACATCCCCTGCACCCAGCTTCTTCCCATTCCACTCTTGGCCCTGCTTCCCTAGCCCGGGTGTTCCTCTAACTTCTTTCCCTGACCCTCATCTCTCGACCAATGGTGCTTTCACCTGTCCTGCTAGTGGCGTCTCCAAAGCATGTCTCTGACTGTCTCGTGGTGCTTGGGAATCTATTAGCAGTTCTCTGTTTCTGACTGCAAGAACCCTAAGTCTGTGTCTAAGACATTTCATGCATGATATCAGTCTGGCTTTTTGATCCCTTTTCCTGTCACATCCTGTACTTCAAGAAGGATCATACTTCTAGAACACGTATAGGGCTTTAGCTTATTTTGCCTATTGTATTTTTACTGCCTCTGTCCACACGCAAATATGAAAATCACTGTTGGCTGTTTCTGAGGCTGTTTTTTTCAACAACTCTTCCCTTGAGCTCCTACTAAGCAGTCTTTGCCCCTTTTAATCTTTCATGGTATAGACAATATTGTGCCTTGCTTCATGGTTATTTACCTATCTGTCTAGGCTACAGATCCTTTGAAGAAAAAGGCTCAGCTACTTTTATTATTGTGTCCGTGACTATTCAAGGTCAGTGAACATTTGCTGCATTTGATTAATTTCATGAAAATAGCTCGGAGACAAAGGAACAAAGCAATATCTATGGTGTGGGCTTATGAGACACTAAAAATTCACGTTTTAGTGATTGTGAGCATGCAAACCCAGCAAATCCCTCATCTTTTGTTTAATGTGTTCTGTGAGAAAAAGTGGGGCCCCTGAAGCCCTGGTGCCCAGGGCTACATCTTCAGCTCCATCCTCCCTTCACTCACCTCCTCTGGAACATCACCAGTTTCTCGGCTTCTAGGTCAGACATGTCCAGTTTACCGCCCTTCTCTTTGACAGCTGGATGTTTGCGTACAAGCAGCCAACCCACGTGAGAGAAGAAAAAGCCACGACGGGAATTGTGAGGATCAGCGTGGGTTTCTGTGAACTTGTGATGGGTGCGGTGATCTCGGGCCCATTCATACACATCATTCTGGAAGGACAGAAGAGAGAAACCCAGTATTGAGAAGAGATTCCCCCCTGGGAGACTTCAGTGCCCAGATGTCTATAGGGGCCTGGGACTCTCAGTCCAATTCACAAAGTTCCCAGGACTCTGCTCCCAAGGATGGGGGTGTGGGGCTGCCTTCTTCTGCACACTTGTCCCTTTAGCTTTTGTGGAAGAGCAACTTAAAAGTCCAGACCCAGGAATAGCACTGTTGCTTCCTGGGGTGTGTGTGGAGGTAATGGGGAGCTAGGGATAGGGTTTCACAAGCTGAGAGAGTTTCATAGGCAAAGAACACTACAGTTCTTTAGAAAGGAATGTGAGATAGGGTCCTCATGGAGTATCTAACCCTTGGTCACAGAGAGCACGAAGCAGTATCTAACCCTTGGTCACCTAGGGTGCTCCTTTGTTGTAAAAGTATAGGGATAACCATCCTGATGCTTTTACAAGCAACAGGTTACCCAACCCAGTATCAAGGCCAGTGTGTAATTCATGGACCTGAGCACATTTCCAAAGGATATCTGACTTGTCTGTGACTCTTTCCATCCCTTCAAAAATGTACCATCATGCCTCTTCCCAATTTCACGTTCCCAGAACAGGATTTTTCAAGGAATAAATTGCTAGGGTAGAAATGATCAGGCACATGAGGTGAGTACTTCAACACAGGGGAAACTAATTTGGTTTCCCCTTACTGCAAATTAAGCCCCATACCACTAGCTCTCCTGCGCCGACTGCTGAAGCCTAACAGCTACAAGAGTCTTTATTTATTTATTTATTTATTTATTTATTTATTTAATTATTTATTTATTTATTTATTTTTTTGTCTTTATGAGACAGGGTTTCCCTGTAGCCGCAGCTGGCCTGAAACTTGTTATGTAGGCCAGGATAGCCTTGAACTCACAGAGACTGGCCTGCCTCTGCATCTTGAACGCTGGGATTAAAGGAGTGTGCCACCATATCTGGCTTATCCCCCTTATTTTTTCTATTATAACTTTGTGCCTCAGTAAATTTTAATAGTTGGCTTACCTGGCATATCAGTCCCACATAGGACCACAGTGTTTATCTACCCAAAACTCTTTTGTTGTTGCTGTTTGTTTGCTTTGTTTTGAGACATGGTCTCACTATGTATCCCCAGGTGGCCTGAAGTTCATTATGTAGACCAGGCTTACCTCAAACTCAGAGATCCACCTGCCCCTGCCTCTGGAGTATTGGGATTAAAGATAAGTGCCACCACGTGTGGCCTACCCAAAAGTCTTTAAATTTTTTTAAATTATTTTTATTTTATGTATATGAGTATATTGCCTGCATGTATGTAAGTGTACCTGTGTCGAGCAATGCCTGCACAGGTCAGAAGACAGTGTCGGATCCCCTAGAACTGGAGTTACAGATGGTTGTCAGCCAGCATGTGGGTGTTAGGAATTGAACCCGAACCTGGCTCCTCTGCAAGAGCAACCAGTGCTCTTAAGTGCTGAGCCATCTCTCCAGCCTTACCCAAAACTTAATGTCTGGGGCTGGAGAGGTGGCCAGCAGTTAAGAGCACTGGTTGTTCTTCCAGAAGACCTGGGTTCGATTCCTAGCACCCACATCGTGACTAACAACCATCCATAACTCCAGTTCCAGGGGATCTAACACCCACTTCTGGCTTCTGCAGGGCATTGCATGCATGTGGTACACTTACATACATGCGGGCAAAATACTCATACACATAAAATTAAAATAGTAAATAAAATATTTTTTAAAACTTGGGACTGGAGAGATGGCTCAGTGGTTAAGAGCACTGACTGCTCTTGCAGAGGACCTGGGTTGATTCTCCCATCCACATGATGGCCAACAACCATCTATAATTCCAGCTCCAGGGAATTCGACATCTACTTCTGACTTCTGAGGGCATTGCACTACACAGGTGTACTTACACACATGCAGGCAATACAGTCATACACATAAAATTAAAATAATAAATAAAATAGTTCAAAATGTATTTTAAAAAACAACTCTTAACTACTGAGTTTTCTCATCTGAAAAATGAAGACCAAGCTCCTCAGATATTGTGAGAATTCAATGAGTTCATCAGTGTTACAAATGCTTAGGGTACTGGCTGGCACATGCTGCCACAAACATGTTTGCTCTTCTCTGCAGAGGCTCCCTGGGCCTGGAATCTCACTGAGGTAGAATCCTGAGACAGATACCTTAAAACATACGTTTATTGTCCACTGAATGTCCAGGAAATCAAGGTCAGTGTGTGGCTGATGTGCCATGGCCCTTTAAGCTGAATAGCCACAGCAGAGCAGCCCATGCAGTATGATAACACAGAGACCCTATAGCTGAGGAGTCTTTCCTATTTACCTTCCATTTCCCTTTCCAGGGATTCTGAGGTGTCCCATGCTGTGTGGGCCTCAATGCTGAGCATGCACGTGAGGTGACCACAGGAGACTGTAAAGGACAATGACTATCCTGTTGGCACCTCTTAGGGTACTGGTTCCTTCCACACTTCCCTGAGCATCCGTAGAGACATGGAGCTGAGCATCAACAGCCTCTTACCTGGAATGCCATGGTGTTGGCAATGATGAGGAAGGGCCTCAGTGGCAGCCGAGCTTTGTAAGTTCGGTGGCTCCATAGGCGATGTGCCCTAGCTGTGATGCCCTGGGCACTGATTACATTGTACACTAATCCTGTCAGGAGTAGACAGCAGGGGGAGTCACCAGCCATTGTGAGTTCAGGGGAAGGGGAAGAGAGTGAGAACACTTTCCTGACTCCATAGTATTTGTCTTCTTTAGACTTTAGTGAGGATCTTCTTTCCCCCTTAACTCTGGGATTCCTTGGTTTCTGAGAACTTGTGGCTTTGAACACTTTAATGGTCCCATTATGTCCCAGCCTCTCCCAGGGATGGAGAAAACCTCTGGAGCTCCGAGAACTAAGCATACAGGAATCAGTACAGGGAGTCACTATTATACCAATTGTCACGGTCAGTCTGCAGGAGCGGTATCCCTGGGCCCCTTATCTATTCTAAGGTGCTCAGAATTACTCCCTCAGAATTTAAGACCTATCATCAAAGATATTTGAAAAATAGCAACTAGGGCAATTTGAGTACTGACCCATTACAAGAGCCCCAAATTTTAAGGGATGCTGAGACCACAGATCTGTGCCAAACTACCAGCTGGAACAACAACATTGCATTATGATGGCAGGCAGCATGCCCCAATCAGGGCACATCAGTCCTGCGAAAAGTTGTATTTGTTCAGTGGTCCAAGTTTTACTGAGGATGCTAATAGTTTTATACCTACTGCACACCTTGAAGGAGTAGGTGTGATTACTTCTGCATGTTAAAGAAACAGATCATAGGCAATGTTAAGGGTTTATCCAGAATCACAAGGTAAAAAACTGTAACCATGGCTTGAAGCACAGTTTTCTGTTAGAAAGCCATTGATTCAGCTCTACCACCCATCCCCCAAGATCTGTGCCCAGATCCCATGGGACTGGGACTTTGCCATGTCCATCTGTCAATCCAGACTATCACCTCAAACACTAATTGTAGACAGTGCTGGGAGATGCTCAAAGCTGGCAGCTGCTGGTGTCTGTATTAGGGCAAGTCAGCTCTGCACTATATTATACTTGAACAGTGGCCTAAGCACCAGAGGACCATCAGGATGATCCCCCTCACTATCATACTGCTTACAGGTTCAGGAGTACCACCCACAATTTTTTTTATAGGGAAAGATACAGGGTGTATCCATGAGGTCTTGGGGAAGACTTTTAACAGTGTTTCACTCTTAGGGGCAGCTGGAAACAATGGATTCTCAGAGGTCACAGAACATAATTGAGATTGAAGATACCGCCATACATTGTACAAATTATCTTGTACCCTGTAGCCAGATATGACAGTTTCCCAAACAGCATCCTCCCCAATGTCTTGTACTCCATCCTTCTCCTTCTATAATATTCTCACAAAAGCCATAGAACCAGGGCAAGTTCTGGCCACATTCCCTCTGAGCTTGGATGAGATCCAAGGTGACTTGCTACTTCTGGCCATGTTTAGATTCAGATCTTCCCATAGACCTTATCAGACTCTAAACCACAGGGGAGCCAGGGGTCTATATCACAGGATGAAAGAAAAGGCTTTGGGAAAAGCAGAAGCACCCATGTTAGTTTCATGCTGCTGATGTCTATGGTATGTTGACTTTGCAAGCACATGCAGTACCACCTTGACAAGGGAATTGGGACAACAACCCAAGTACTATGGAGTCTGTTCTTCCCTTGACCCTTGATTGCCAAGTAGATGGCTCCGTTCAAATATATTAATTCTCTGTCCTCCAGGGATGAACTGTCTGTATCTACACTGATGGCTAAGCAACATCTTGAAACATTTCCCTAAGAAGTGGGCTGGAGGGATTTTGTTCTCAACCCCCAGCATTAGCAGAAATGTCTTTTCAGCCCTGGGGGCTCTTGTAGAGTCTGCAAAAGAAGAGAAGGCTCTCAAAACAGTCAAATCAGGAGAAAGGCTGGGAAGACACAAAACTACTCTAGGGAACATGACCTTACTAATCCTGATAAAACAGTGTTGTCCCCATCTGGTACCTGGAAAAACTCGTCCTGAGAAAGGGGATTTTTTTTTTTTAAAGATCTGAGGCACCTGGAGACCCTCCAACAACTTCCAAGATGAAGCCCCAAGGGCCAGATCTCACCATCTAGAGGTCCTCAGAGGCCCAGGGCATGGGGAGCTAACACCTGACCAACCAGCTCGTCTATACCACTACCTTCTAAGAGAGAGCTACCAGAAAGTTCAAACACCCGACACTGCTCTGGAAAGTCTTCTGACTTCCAGAGAGAGACCATAGCTCACCATCCCTCAGAGGGCAGTGAAGGGTCCCAGGTCTGCAGACTTCCTGGTCCCCCTTCCTGATTCAGGAATCAGGAGTCAGAGATGAAAACCCATGTAAAGCACATGTGTGTCCAGGGTCAGCCCTGCCATAAGCCCACACCCATAGAACCCTGAGGAACTGAGCCAGGGCAGGTCAGAGAGACAGTGGCAGCTGTCTCCCTCATTACAGCAGCCTGAAGGCCAGGGGTTCTCAGGGCTCTATTCTCCATGCCTGACTGTTCTTGGCAAGGAAGTAGGGGTAGGGGACAGGGAGGACTGATGTTAGAAGGTTCTTGGTCCTTGGCAATACATGGTCTCCAGGAGCTGGCTGTCTGGGGAACAGAATGTAAAACATTTCTGCCATCTTATCTCATTTTAAGAACATTTTGCTGACTGGCATGTACTGTGCCCTGGAGACCTACCTGAAGTAGCGGAGCCATACCTCGTGCACTTGGGTTATACAGGAGCCTGCTTCCTTTCCCTCCAGGTCAAGTCAGCCTGATCTGACCAGAATTATGTGTACATATTTTTGGGGCTAACTACCTCTATTCCTTCCTCTCTAATGACCTCTCCTGAGCAATCTCCCCTTGCTCTGTCCCCTGACTCAGCAAATAGCCTATAGCTGATTAGGGACCCATGCCTCCCAAGTAGGGTCTTGATTCTCTTGTGGCAGGTAGGGCTGGGACAGGAAGCAATGGGAGGGACTCAAACAGAAAATCTCTTTCAGAAACTGTCATTTCCCTGGCATGAATCTGTCCCTCCAAGGCCACTGCTCATGGGTTCAGCATCCATGTTAAGAAACTCCCAGAACTGACACTCTCGCATCTCAATCCTACTAGGCTCTGCTCCCAGTTGAGTAAATCCATCAAAAACCAAAGAGAAAGTCTACACAAAAACTGAACATGGGGCTGGAGAGATGGTTCAGGTATTGCATAACACAGGTGCACTTACATACATGCAGGCAATATTTTCATACACATAAAATAAAAAACAATAAATAAAATATTTTAAAAACTAGATAGAGGCTACTTCCCTGGGCCAGACCTCACCTGGTTAAAAAGTAAGGTGAAACCTGAAGTACTAGCTCAGGACAAGGGGAGCTGCTCACCAAAGAGGCAGGTGTAGAACTTGCAGCTGGGAATCAGCGTGATCCCATACAGGGCTCCCATGTGCAGCAGGGACATGAGGATGATGTTTCTCCACACGTACTCCAGCTTGGGCGGGGGGCCCTTCGCATCCTGGTAGCTGGGGTCATGTATGTCTTCTTTCATTTCAGGACGGATGTCCTCTGAGTGGAGGGCTGTCTTCTCCACCTTCTCTTCTCCATTCTGCTGATCCCTGGGGTGAGGCTCTGTGACAGTGGTAGAGGCAGAGTAGCTAGAAATCTGGGAAGAAAAGGAGTGGAGAGCCGGGAGAATTGATACATGAAGGCAGCAAGGGGCATTTCCCTCTATAAAGCAGTCAAGGCATTAGAGGAACGGATCCTGCCCCAGTGCCTGGGTTACGTGAGAATAGGGTACTTCCCTAGATAAAACTGGAAAGTTTTTGGAAACTGCACAAATGGGTTGACAATAAAACCTCAAGACAAGGGGGCAGAAGGAGAGGGAGAAACATATTTTCACCTTAAACAACACACAAAGGAAAATGCGCATGTATGCAGCTGGATGGGACTTTAAAGCTTCAGAAATGAAAGAGAGTCAGCTGCCAAAATACACTCCACATCCCTCACCACATGAAGGCCATACAAATCCAAAAAGATGTCCAAGTTGTCTGTATAGCTCTCAGCTCTGGCAGCTACCAACCACTCAGCAGAATCCCACCTGGCGCCAAAGACCCTGTACTGTGGAGGTTATCAGTGAAAAGCTGACCTCTTGGGGCAACTGGGCCTCATCTTCGCTCTAGGAAGCCAGGATCCTGTTCTGAAGGCCGAGAATGCAGTTCAGGGTTCAAGACTGCAAGCACTGAGGGTGGATGGAACTTGAAGTCCACTTGTGTGCTGTGGGCCTGGCTTGCTGGATGGGTGTCACAACTTGAATCTGCTTTGTATAGATCTCTCTGGGCTTGGGATTTAAAGGGTAGATAGAGCTGGCAGTTGGTGACTGTGTGTGGTATGTGCTCAGATGTTAACACTACCAACAAGAGATAAAGTGCTCAGAGCTGGCTAGTGAAGGCAGCCCCACGTAGAAATGATGGCAAGAGAGGGGAGGGGACCAACAAGTGAGTCTGTACTAACCCAAGTTGAGGCCGGGGGATTCTGCACACACTAAGAGTGCACCACCTTTGTTCCAGTTCCTAGAGAAATGTTAATGAGGCTTCAGTAAACTCTGGTGTGTCTTTGACCAGGTAAGTTGTTGCTACCTTGTCTTCTTAGCTATTGGCATCCAGGAATCTGCTGCCCCTTTGGCAGACGGCCCTTCTCTCCCCTCTCCCCTTCTTTCCTTGGTTTCTGTTCCGTAAACCCTGGGCCTCTGTGGGCATCTTGGCTCTACGAAGCTGGGATCCAGTTCTCAAGCTTCAGACAGTGCACCAAAGCATTCTCAAAATCAGAGAGGACCTAGTCAGGCAATGAGACTGGGTCCAAGCCCAGGCACAGGCACAGGACAAATGTGTGCACATGGGGCAGTTGCACGGTGGGACACCTGGGGGGGTGCCCATTCCAATTCCATCTTCTCTTTCCATTCACCCATTCAGAGTGTGTTGTGGGGGGAAGGGACTGACCTCTACCTCCAGGTCTTGGGACAAAGGCAGGGGTGTACCCGACCTTCTTACTTATCACCAAAAGCCAATATGGCTTGTTTCTGCCCACCTGCTCCAGATGTTCACCAGCGATCCAGGAACCTCTGACTACATCTGCAGTCATATGCACAGCTGAGCACCTGCACTCACATACCAGGCTCAGTCACAGGACATGCTTCACAGTGGACAACCACCCCCACACATTAGCACTCAATCCCTTCCATATGCCCACACCTCCGAAACATCTGCATCTTCAGAGAGTTTTGAAGATTCTTCTGTCAAGTTGGAATTTGGAAGTCTTCTACAAGGAAAAAATAAAGGAAAAGAAAGACTTGAAAATATTTGCATATGGATTAAGAACAGCAGGCAGGGATTTGAATGATCCATACAAGCTAATTCAAAAGGCTTTGTTGAAGCCCCACTGTGACCTATGATTTCATTTTAAGGAGGAGGAAACTGAGATACAGAGTGATCAAATAACTTGCCCATAGTCTCAGGAGCTAGTGACTCCTAGAGCTAGAAACTTAGTGCTGTAATGTGACGCCAGGGCCCAAGCTCTTGAACCCTGCTCAAAACACTGCTGTCCTAGAATTCAGAGACACACTGACCTCAGAGCCCAGCTTCTCTGGTTCTGTGGGAGTTACAGCAGGGAACACAGCCAGCCAGGCTTTGCTTCCCCGAGTCCCTAGTCTCTTGAGACAGATGCATTTTTTTTTCCAGGCAAAGGAAATTGCACAGCTGCAATCATGTCTAGCTTCTTTCTCTGTGAAGCGTCTCTGATCTCCCTTTTCCTTCCCTCTCTCCTCTGTCAAATGGTGGGGGACTCTCCTGCTCCCTCTGCCTTCTCACACACTGTGCTTTGTACACAATTTCATTTTAACAGTTACATTGTAAAACTGTTTACAAAGCCTGCCTCATTGGTAGACCAGAAGCTTTCTGTATAGCAGAAATGTTGTCCTTTCCTTTGTTTCCCTAACATTGCAGAGTTTCTTACAGGCATTAACTAGTCAACAAATACTTCCAAGAGAAGAGAGATAAGGAATATGATGAGGGACCAGTGAGTATTACAATTTGCATGAAATCTGACCCATAAATGAGAGCTATAGGAACTTATTATACTAGTAGTGTGAAAAGTCGGTGTGATGGTACCCAGTGTTACTGAGGCAGTAGAGTAATGGAAACTGGTACACGCTGCTGATGAGACTGCAGCGATTTTGAAGGACAATTTATTAGCACTTAATAAAGCCATGTATGCTCATACTCTGTCTTCTGGAAATTCTACCTCCTGAGAAACTATTCTCTTTAATTACATCAATTTTTGTGTCTTTTGTTTTGCTTTTTACTGTACTAGGGATCAAACCCTATAAGTGCTCTATTGCTGAGCTACATTTCTCAGTCCTTTTTAAAAATATTTTATCTTTTATTCATTTTATTTTATTTTTTGGTCTTTTTGAGACAGGGTCTCACTGTAGCCCCAGCTGTCCTGGAACTCACTATGTAGACCAGGCTGGCTTTGAACTCACAGAGATCTACCTTTCTCTGCCTCCTGAGTGCTGAAATTAAAGGTGTGTGCCACCATACCTGGCCTTATTTATTATTTTTATTTTATGTGTATGAGTTTATTGCCTGCATGTATGTAAGTGCACCCATGTTGTGCAATTCCTGCAGAAGTCAGAAGAGGGCATCGGATTCCCCTGAAACTGGAGTTACTGATGATCGTTAGCTACCTTGTAGGTTCTGGGAATCGAACCTGGGTCCTCTGCAAAAGCAGCCAGTGCTCTTAACCACTGAGCCATCTCTCCAGCACCCTGCTCCCAGTCCTTAGTTTTTGAGACAGATTCTCAGTATGTAGCTCATGCTGGCTTTGAATACCCAGTCTTCCTGTTTCAGTTAGAGTAACTGGGATTTCATCACACAGGACTTTCATAGTATTTTTTTGTTCTAAGGGAAAAACTAGAAAGAAACGGTTAGACACTATAACAATACACAGTTGGGAGAGATTGTCACCAACCAGGTCAAATGATTACATCTCACTTAGTCATCAGTCATGGCAGGTCATCTTTAATCCTGGCAGTCAGGAGGTTGAGGCGTGATCATGAGTTTCAGTCCAGCCTGGGCTCTAAAACTAGACCCTGTTTTAAAAACAAAAATAAAAATTCCATTCAGGCTGGGTATGGTGGTGCTTACCTTTAAAATCCAAGCACTTAGGAGGCAGAGGCAGGTGGATCTTTGTGAGACTGAGAGGTCAGCATGGTCTACATAGTAAATTTCAGGCCAGCTGGGGCTATAGGGAGACCCTATATCAAAAGAGACTACCCCTCCAAAATACCATTTAGTACATTTGGACAAAGATCTAAACCAAAAATCCCCATATACTCCAGGATGTTTATCAGCTAAAAGAACCCTTCCAAACCACTCAAGTCTAGATCAGTCTGCAAAACTTAGCTGGTGGACCTGGGATCTGGCTACATATATTTTGGAAGATCTCTACAATTGCCATCATTCCTGATCAAGGAGCACTGAACTAAAGTGAACCAGGGCTCTATAATAAAAACAACCAGAATCTCCTATCCTGTTTTGAGTGTGACCACTACTGTCTACAGCCTAATGCAGTGCAGGTGTCATCTATGGAACACATACTCTGTGAGAATCTGTGAGCTGCTCAAGTAAAGAAACAGCAGGTAGGAGGCTAGAGAGGTAGCTCAGCGGCTAAGAACACTTACTCTTCTTCCAGAGGGCCTGGGCTCGATTTCCAGCACCCACATGGTGACTAACAACTGTTTGTAACTTCAGTTCCAGGGGTCCAATGCCCTCTTCTGACCTTTGAAGGCATTGCATAACACAGGTGCACTTACATACATGCAGGCAATACAGTCATACACATAAAAATATTAATAAATATAAATCGTTAAAGTGAAATGGGGCTGGAGAGATGGCTCAGCAGGTAAGGGTGCTTGCTACCAAGCCTGACGACCTGAATTCAATTCTCAGAACCCATATGGTAGAAGGGGAGAACCCTACAAGTTGCCCTCTGACCTCTACACACATGCTGTGTGCTCTAGTTTGCTTCTCTGTTGCTGTGACAAAACACTGACTAAAACCAACTTGGGGAGTGTTCTGGTTTGTTCTCTCCATTGCTGTAACAAAATACTCTGACCAATACCAACTTGGGGAGGAAAGAGTTTATTCAGCTTACATCTCCCAGGTCGCAGTTCATCAGGGAGCCCAAGGTAGGAACTCAGGGCAGGAACCTGGAGGCAGGAGCTGGAGCACAGGCCATGGAGGAACGCTGCTTAGTGACTTGCTCCCCTGGTCCCTGCTCAGCCTGCTTTCTTATGCAACACAGGCCCACCTGCCCAGGGGTGGCACCACCCACAGTGGGCTGGGCCTGCCCACATCACTCATCAAGAAGATGCCCCTCAGACATGGCCACAGGCCAGTCCAATAGAGGCAATTCCCCAACTGGGGCTCCCTCAACCCAGGTGTGTCAAGTTGACACTAAAGCTATCCAGTATAGGGAGGAAAGGATTTATTTCATTTTATAGCTTACAGTTCATCATCTAGGGAGACCAGGGCAGGAGCTCAAGACAGGAACCTGAAGGTAGGAGTTGAAGCAGAAACTGCGGAGGAATGTTTGCTTACCGCCTAGCTTTCAGGCTCACAGTCAGCTAGTTTTTTATGCAGACACACCATCAGCTGCACTTCTTATGCAGCCCAGGCCCACCTGCCTAGGGATAGATAACACAGCCCATAGTGGGCAGGGCCCTCCTATATTAATTAACAACCAAATGCTTCACAGACATGGCCACAGGCCAAGAAATTCAATTTCTTAAATTGAAGAAGTTCCTCAATTGAAGTTCTCTCTTCCCAAGTGTCTCTAGTTTGTGCCAAGTTGATAAAAACTAATCAGCACACTGTGTGGCACACATGCTCACACACATACACACACAAAACAAATAAATGATTGTGATAATAAAAATGTTTTAAAAGAAGGAAGAAAATGATAAGAAAACCCATGGAATGGAAGAAAGTATTTGCAAATTATAAGTTTGACTATGGTTTAATGTCTAAAATATGTAAAGAACACTTATAATTCCACAAAAAAGATAACCAAATAGTTCAGTTTCAATGAGCAAAATGTTGGAAGACACATCTCTTAACAGGGTACACAAACAGCCAATAAGCATGCCAAAAGCTCAATATCACTAGTCATTAGGGGATTACTAATCAGAAGCATAATGAAATACTACTTTACATGTACTGCACTTGTAATGGAAAGGACAGATGATGGTGTTGGTGAGAATGTGGAGAAGCTGGAGCCCCCTGCACAGCTTTGTAGAACTGTGAGCAGTCCTCCAAGCTTAAGAATAGACTAACATAAGATCAGGTAATTCTTCAGATATGTCTAAGAGAACTGGAAACATGTTCACACAAACATGGATGTTCACAGCAGCATTGTTCACAGTGCAGACTTTACACTAAGGGGAAGAACCTAGACACAAATGGCCACAAGTTTCTGTTTACATATCTACAATATGGAGATGGAGAGATGGCTCAGGGGTTAAAAGCTCTGGCTGCTCTTGCAGAAGACCCAGATTTGGTTCCCAGGCCCCACATGGTGGTTAACAATTGTCTGTAACTCCAGTTCCAAAGTATCTAACACCCTCTTCTGGCCACTGTGGGCATTGCACATGCAGGTGCACTTACATGAATGTAGGCAAAACACTCATACACACAAAATAAAAATTTAAAAAATCAAGCTGGGCACCTGGCACAGTGGTGCATACCTTTAGTCTGAACACTCAGGAGGCAGAGGCAGGCAAATTTCTGTGAGTTCAAAACCAGTCTGGTCTACAAATTCCAGGCCAGCTGGGGCTATAGGGAGACCCTGTCTCAAAAAGACCAAAAAAAATTTTTTTTGAACGAAAAAAAAATTTTAAAGAAATATCCAAAACAGGAAAGTGTATAAAACAACAAGAATAGTGATTGACTAGGGTTAGGGTGGTGGATTGTAGGCAGAAGTCAAGGAGTGACTGGCTGATCATAGGATTCTACATGGGATTATGAAAATTTCTGAGATTGTTATAATTGTTGCACAACCTTGTGGATATAGTAAATCCATCT